TTCTGGTGCTGATGTTGCTTCCAGAAGCAGGTTGGAGCTCTGTAGAGAGTGATGCAAAGGAGGATAGGCGATTTTTACACTCTGTAATTTTTATGCTCCATGAGTTTGTGAGGTCTACCGCTTTATGGCTGAGCTGTTGTTGCTCCGAGATGCTTCCAGTTCAGAGTGACAGCACTTAGAGTTGACCAGGGTGGAACTAGCAGAGCAGATGTCTCAAACTGACTTGTGGTAAAGGTGGCATCATATGACAGAGCCACATTTAAAGTCACTAAGCTCTTCAGTATGACCCATTCTACTGCCATTGTTTCTCTATGGAAATCACATGTTCTTTATTTTCCTGTATGTACATATGTAGACCCTATGGAAAGGTGAGTGAATGGTACATTCTGAAGCAGTAACAATGCTTACATCAACTACATCAAACATTTCTTTCAAAAAAGCAAGGAAAAGTCTGTTTCCATGATGTTGGCCCTGACCGTTCCGTGCAGAGCAGCGCCTGGCATTGTTTACCGGACTGGCCGTGTGTGATTCTTCGAGACTTCCATTCTCGTTTAAGTCTTCTCTCCCTAGCAGCAGAAACAAAAAGCAGCACAGGTCTAATGCAATCCTCCCCCGTCTGATTACAGGTGTAGCTCTGAGAGCCGGAGAGGCTGCTGATGGAGCATTATCACAGGAGAAGTGAGGAAGAGTGATGCTAGCCGTCTCACTTTGACAGGTCCATTTCCATAGGTTAATAGAGCCCAGGTGTGATGCGGCTGTGTGCGATTACCGCTCAGGTAAACAGACTTTCCGTTGGCCCACTCCAATTCCGACCCGTGGCTGGATATAGGCCCGGACCCAGACAGGGAGTAGATGAACAGAGCGCCAGAGACAAAAGCTGAGCTCATTGCATTGGGTGAGTGGTTTTCAGAGCATGACCAAGCTACATATTTAATTTATAACATGAGCAGCGCCTTCTCTTCATTTCTTCCTTCAGAAAAGAATATAAAGCTGCACTCTTTTCCTGAGCCAACGTGTGTCTAGAATTAGAATCAAGGCAATCAGACTACAGCTGCGAGAGTAGAATGTGGTGACCCTGAAGAGATCTCTCATGCAGCTGTGTCCAGAAGCTTTTGAAATCAGAAATTCTGCAGTCCTCAACACTCAATACAACAGCATAGCACACTTAAATCATCTACTCTGGGCAAAAGAATCTTTCTTAAAAATGATCTAGAAAAACTTTCCTGAACTGCTGAAATTTTGTCCCCAGACCCCAGATGTTTGTTTTGGCCCACGATGACCTACCCTAACCACACCCCCTCACCTAATGGCACAACAAACCTCATATCTCCATTTTTGACGTTTTTCAGTTTTTGACATAATTTGAAAATACCTGTTGCCCTTTACATTGTATGTAAATTTCATAATGAATAGACTAAAAGAAATGATCTAAAATGACTTGGAAAGAAGTCTGGTTCCATTGACTTGCATTAAAAGTAAAGTAGGTTTTTTCCTTCTCCTGTAAAGTTACCATTTTGGAGATATGAGGTTTTCTTCCGACAACAGCGATGTGCTTTATGGATTATTCTACTACACTGGTTCAAAACCCTTTTCAGACTCTTAAATGATTTGGACTTTTGAGTAAATCGTTTAGTTTTGAGTGACTCTGTTCCCTAATTCTGTTTATTTTATTAAAACAAATGACTGAACATTCCATTTTGTCACTGCCAAAACAATCATAACACTACCAAAACATTACCAGATGTTTCAGCAATGAGAGTTTTATCTACTCAAAAACGAGTCAGTAATCAACCAGTAAGCACGGCTTTGAACAATTAAACACACATCATAATATGTTTCATTAAAAAAGTTGACCTGTGTTTTCTTAATTGATTTTATACACCTGTTAGCAATAGCTAGCTTTTTCTGTGTTCTTACACTCTGATTTCAGACTTTACAACACGTTCACTGCAAAACAGTAGGATCTAACTTCTCACCAAGTGGCCATGAGATGCAGGGGTGCAGGGTCTAAAATGCAGGGGTGTGGCTAAAATAACATCTGTAGACTAAAACTCCTTGGCTGCATCCAAAACTGCATACTATCATGCTAAATAGCATGCCTAAAATAGTACACCACCAACAGAAGTCCCTTCTTTAGTGTAGTATGTGTTGGACAGTACCATGCAGTTTTGAACGAAGCTTGAAAACTCATGATAAATCTAAATCTTCCCACTTCATCTTAAAAGAAATAAAAACATTGAAAAAGTATTTTAAAAAATTAAGTCACAGTCACCTCCCAATAGAAAGGGTCTATAAATGATGATTTTGTATATTTAGTTTTTAACTATCTCAGTTATTGCCTTGGGTTTAAATAGATCACAACATAACCCTTGTACACCGATCAGGCATAACATTATGACCACCTCCTTGTTTCTGCGCTCATTGTCCATTTTATCAGCTCCACTTACTATATAGGTGCACTTTGTAGTTCTACAGTTACAGACTGTAGTCCATCTGTTTCTCTGATACTTTGTTAGCCCCATTTTACCCTGTTCTTCAGTGGTCAGGACCCCCATGGACCCTCACAGAGCAGGTACTATTTGGGTGGTGGATCATTCTCAGCACTGCAGTAACACTGACGTGGTGGTGGTGTGTTAGTGTGTGTTGTGCTGGTCTGAGTGGATCAGACACAGCAGTGCTGCTGGAGTAACTGTAGAACTACAAAGTGTGCTTTATGGATCATGGTCTGAACATTTTTTAAACATTTTTTTTTTAGTTTTTTACTTTTGCAGTGTGAACTAATTTGGTAGAATGTTCTATATAAATCTTCTTAACGTCTTACTTTCCTTTTTAAATTGTATTTTTATTTAATAAAATATTGTATAATGAAAAACCTGCCTGCTGTATTTGAATATTGTTTTGTCTTCCTGGCTGTCGACCCACCACAAACACTGCATTTTGGCTCTACAAGACAAAAAGTACCCCTTTGTGTACCCCATGGTTAGAACCATGTGGAACTTCTTTAAACTGTAGAAAGGTCTTCACAAAAATACCTTTTCAAAAAAACACCGTCCACTGAAAGGTTTGTTAAGGAACCCAAAAATGTCCTTCCATGGCAGCGCTCCAAATAACCCATTTTGGTGCTGTTTAAGAGTCTGTGTGTAGAAATGTGCGTGTGAACAGTCATGCTTGTCAGAAAAACAGGATGTAGCGGGGTATGCAGGCCGGACACGAAGGGCACTAGCAGGTGGAAATGAACCCTCCATTGTCGCTGGAGAGGGAGGGACAAGATCTGTCAGTTAAGGCTTTCCAGATAAAGAAGGAAAGGGCAGCCATTGTGTTGAGAGAGGAGCAATGCTGGATTCCAAGATCCCAGGGGAGCGCCGAAAATAGCTCCAGTTATTGAGGAATACTGTCATTTGGGACATAGAGGTTAACAGAGAGCCTGTCTATGTGTCATATCATTTATAATACAATTACAGCCAGACAGACTATCAGTGAAAAGCCAAATGAGACCATTCAAAAGCCTCCAGTCTTTGAAGATCAAAAGGTCGAGAACATTCAGAAGCAGTTTTGCTCTTTGCTAGAATGTAAACATTGTGAGGCAGTAAATGCAATTGTTTCAGCAAATCAAAGACATCCAGTGAGATGAGGTTGTTTACTTGTGCGCTTCAGATGCTTTCCTCTCCGCCTCAACTGCTTCAGGCATTTTCAGTGATGAATACCTTTGCTCACATTTTCCTGAAACCCAGCACTGCCATCTAGTGGGCATCAATAGGGAAGTCATGCAAGATGCAGTCCTGTGCAGTCATTTCTGTAATTCCTAGTCAAAATTACTGTTCAGGTCATAATTAATTTTTCAGTGTCAGGAGAAGAACTGAAAACATCTGTAACAAAAAATTACACCAATGCCCTAACGAATATATACATAAATATAAATTACAAATCTTTAAGTACTTTTCATCCGATGGGGGCAGTTTTGGTGTCTACCAGCTCTTGCATGGTTGTTAGGAGTCTTCTGAACCACGCACATCTTCTAAACCGCTTATCCTTCTGGGTCACAGGCGGAGCTGGAGCCTATCCCAGCAGTCATTGGGCGGAAGGCCGGATACATCCTGGACAGGTCACCAGTCCATCGCAGTACATTCACACCTAAGGACAATTTTGCACGTCCAATTAGCCTGACTGCATGTTTTTGGACTGTGGGAGGAAACCCATGCAGATACACGGGGAACATGCAAACTCCACACAGAAAGGACCCTGTTTGCCCAGCCAGGGAATCGAATTCAGGCCCTTTTTGCTGTGAGGCGACAACACTACCCACTGCGCCACCGTGCCGCCCTCTTCTGAACCACTTTCAATGAAAATATTTTACACTAGGAGCTGCGAAAGTAATCCATGCGAATCCCCCCAAAAATTAAACTGTACCTCCCAGAGAAAAATGAATCCCAGGCACTCACATGTTAATGCCTTCATCAGGACAAACAACACAGCAAATGCTTTTTCACATATTCTCCTTTGACTTTCTGCTTTGTTATGCAAGTGAATTATAATTTATCTAATCTCCACAAAAATATCTCCTTTAGCCGTTTTAGATGCACATGAAAAAAGACATTTTAAGGCTGATAAAGTGCATTTGAGTAGCTCAGGTGAACTGTATTGTCTCTTTAAAGGACAACATAATGTCAGTGACACCTTTGGGAGCAGCTTTTGTTAGGAGGACACAGCTGTAACTCCTTGGTCTAAATAACAGAAGGGTGGAAGTGTTAAAGTGGCAGTACGTGCACAAAGTTAAGAAGCAGGCAAATTGAATACTGATAGATTTGATACGATACTTACTGTTGGAGGCTTTTGTGTAATTTGCTGTTGAACATGTTTCCTGCTTTTTTTCTGACACTGAAAACCGAGTAACATGTACTTACTGTCCATTTTGCCTGGAAACTGAATAAAGAAAAAAAGGGTGGTCTCTGACTTTTGCACAGTACTGTACATAACTGTAAATGAAAGACGACGACAACAAATTGGGTGAGTTCACTTTATTGTAACAGAGAGAACTTAACAGAGGTACGTGGTACTGTTTCATAATTACTTGGCCAAGTATGTGTTCCAAGTATACAAAAAGGTTTAAACACAAAGACATTTTTCCTCGTACCATAAAAAGGAAGAATTATTTTCATGATCAAAATCAAAATGATTCACTTTCAGGACAATTTCTGCTCCATTTTTCCCTTCCAAACAAAACAAAACACGTGTCCTGACCACAGTCTCAGATCCATTTTCTTTCCTCAAATATACAAAGATTACAAATCTCTGATCGAGAAGAACTAGAAGAACTGAAACAATATAAGACTTAAACAGGAGATCTTTTAAAGTATGCTTATTTTTTCCTGAAGGGAACGGCACACAGAGTGCATCTATAGGGATCACAGTCGAGTTACAAAGTAAAGAGATCAACCATGAAGGTTCTACTTTAACAGAACACATCAAAAGGAATCACAAGCAAGCAGTTCAGCAAAAAGCAGTGTTTGGAGAAAGCAGTCAGATTAGAAGTGAAGCGAGAAAATCAGGCCTGCAGTCAGCTTGGGGGGGGGGCATATGGCAGAATTTGGTTTATCAATAACTTTCATGTTATATTTTTCTTTAAAAAGCCAAAAATCTAAGAAACTTAAAAAGTTAAAAATATGCCCTCTGTACATAAAAAACTATAACTGTAAAGGAAACAACTTAGAGCGGAAAGTCTCTTACAACCTTAAAAGTGACATGCTAATTAATGCTAAAAGTATATACAAACGAATAAAAAAACAACAACCAAAAACAACACTGATGTACAGATTTAAAAAAAGAACCGTCATGCAATAGATGTTAGCTTTGAGTCTGACTGCTGTAAATAATGAACACCAAAAGCACGCTGAACAGCCTCAGCATGAAGACCAGCAGTGTGGTTTAAAGAGATTATGGAGTGGCTGTAGAACCAGTCATAAGCCTTCCGTTCCTTCATGTGGGCAGGTCCTATGCGCCACCATCCTGGCTCTGCGTCACAATGTTTCTGACAGCACCTCAGAAATGGCACTGAATACACAGACCTTATACCTACAGACGTTTCTTAAGACTCTAAACCGGAAAGCGTACATTCTACCTAACTGCTGAATGCTAAAATGCCATATTCGAGAAATCTGCAGGCTTAGTGGTGGGTTTAAATTACTTTTCAGATGAGCCACTATTGTGTAGGACCAAAAAAAATAGAGAATTTTCACTATCCAAGTGATAGCTTTCCATAAACTTCTAATCCAGAATAAAGCTCACTTTTTTGGGTGCATTTAATGTGGGACTTCTTCTGGGCAAGTAAACTATAAAGAGAATCAATATACTGTATGTACGAGAGTTTGTGAGCATGTGCATGTGTGTTTTTATCTCCCTCAATACTTTGGCACTTTGGTGTAGTCTTCTTGGTGTACACTCTTACAAAGGCCCATGGACAGGATCATGCCAAGAAGCTGTGGGAGGAACATTAGTTAGTCATTAGTCAGTGTGCTGAGCTGAGGCTGGAAATTTGGCAAACGGATGGAGCGATTTTCCACTCCAAAAAAGAATGCTGCTGCATTACATTTGACACAGCGTGAAGTGACAGTAAAATTATAGAGGTATATAAACCAAATCTGGAATAACATTATGACCACCTCCTTGTTTCTATGCTCATTGTCCATTTTATCAGCTCCACTTACTATATAGGTGCACTTTGTAGTTCTACAGTTACAGACTGTAGTCCATCTGTTTCTCTGATACTTTGTTAGCCCCCTTTTACCCTGTTCTTCAGTGGTCAGGACCCCCATGGACCCTCACAGAGCAGGTACTATTTGGGTGGTGGATCATTCTCAGCACTGCAGTAACACTTATGTGGTGGTGGTGTGTTAGTGTGTGTTGCGCTGGTCTGAGTGGATCAGACACAGCAGTGCTGCTGGAGTTTTTAAACACTGTGTCCACTCACTGTCCACTCTATTAGACACTCCTACCTTGTCAGTCCACCTTGTAGATGTAAAGTCAGAGACGATAGCTCATCTGCTGCTGCAGTTTGTGTTGGTCATCCTCTAGTCCTTCATCAGTGGTCACAGGACGCTGCCCACAGAACGCTGTTGTCTGGATATTTTTGGTTGGTGGACCATTCTCAGTCCAGCAGTGACACTGAGGTGTTTAAAAACGCCAGCAGCACTGCTGTGTCTGATCCACTCAGACCAGCACAACAAACACTAACACACCACCACCACGTCAGTGTTACTGCAGTGCTGAGAATGACCCACCACCCAAATAGTACCTGCTCTGTGAGGGTCCATGGGGGTCCTGACCACTGAAGAACAGGGTAAAAGGGGGCTAACAAAGTATCAGAGAAACAGATGGACTACAGTCTGTAACTGTAGAACTACAAAGTGCACCTATATAGTAAGTGGAGCTGATAAAATGGACAATGAGCGTAGAAACAAGGAGGTGGTCATGATGTTATGCCTGATCGGTGTATATGAACATACAGTGCCCTCCAAATATTGGTACCCCTGGTAAACATCAGCAAAACAGGCCAGACTTTAAGATTGGAAAATACCTAAATCTTAATAGTAAATAAATATTTTTCTCTAATTTCTGTGTACCACAATTGTTGGCACCCCTTCATTTAGTACTTCGTACAGCCTCCCTTTGCAAAGACAGCTCTGAGTTTTCTCCTATAATGCTTAATGAGACTGAATAAACTCATGGCAAAATATCTGAGACTATTCCTACATACAGAACCTCTCAAGATCCTTCATACTCTGAGGTCCACACTGTGGACTCTACTCTTCAGCTCATCCCACAAGTTTTCTATGGGGTTTAGCTCAGGGGATTGGGGTGACCATGGGAAAACCTTACTTCTGTGGTCAGTGAACCATTTTTGTGTAGATTTTGAGGCGTGCTTTGGATCATTGTCCTGCAGGAAGATCCAAACTATGGCCCAGTAAATGATGAAGCCTGATCTCATGTATGTGAATAAGTTCAGGTCCTTTAGAATAAAAAACAGCCCCCAGTATCACAGATCCACCACCATCCTTAACAGTGTGGATGAGGTACTTTTCTGCATGGCTGAAACAACCTCTGGTGTTTGATTGTGGTTTGGGAGACGTTCTGACCACAAGACCTAACTAATGTCTGTAATTCTCCCATCTGCGATCCTTGGAGATTCTTTGCCCACTAAAACCATCCTTCTCACTGTGCGTGGGGTCAGTATAGACATGCGTCCTCTTCCCAGCAGATTCTTAGCATTTCCAGTTGATTTAAACTTTTTAATTATTGACCTGATAGTGGAAATGGACATTTGGAACGTTAAGCTATTTTCCTATAGCCATTTCTTCATTTATGCAGCTCAACAACTGTTTGTCACACATCACTGCTGTATCCTCTGGTCGTTCTCATAACAGTGGATGACTGAGGGAATTTGGCCTGTGTTTCATCTCATATATATTCCTCAGTGAAACAGGAAGTCATAGCTGACCATTTGAGAGTTCATAATTGCCCAGGCGAATTTTAAAATATAAAATATGGAATATACTTTAGTTAGATTTCACTGCTAAGAATTTCTAGGGATGCCAACAATATCATCATTATACCTTTAATAAAAGTTAGATTTTTGCTAATATTTTGAATGAAACATCAAAAGCATAAGTGATTAAGAATATTTTTACAGCTCTTTTTGCTCATGATTACCAGCAGTGTCAATATTTGTGGAGGGCACTGTAGGTTAGAAGAAGGGACATGGAATACCTCAATAACAGCCACCCCAAGGCAGATTCCTAGAATGACTCCGTAGTTTGTGAAGAGCCAGCTCTCCACACTGGACATGCAGCCCTAAAGGGGTAACAGAGAAGAGACACACTTCCATTAAATACAAGGCCCCAGACTAGATACAGCACCTATTCTAATTAATCCAGCACCTCATTCATGTTAAATTCACTCACATGATGACCTGCATCAAGAAAAATCACACATTTTCTACAAAAACCTTAATATATTTTCTACTGAAATTAGTTCAAACTGTGGTCCCACAGTAAACACTATAAAAAATTAAGTGTTCAGACCTTTACAGATATTTACATACGTCTATTTAAAACTAAATATATTCAAAATCATCATTTGTTGGGTAATTTCTATTGGGAAGTACCTATTTCAAACACTAATCCCTGAATTTCAACTTGTAAAAATAATTAACATTTTTTTTCATTTTTATTTCTATATTTTTTTTAGTTTGTTGTTTCCTAAAATGTCTTTTTGATTTATTTTAAAGTTGAAATTTTTAATTTCATCATGAGTTTATTAAAACCTTCTTAAAAAATGTGCCATGTTTTCATGTCATGACTGAAAGACAGAGTTTTAGTCCACAGGTGGAGCCTTATTTTAGCCACACCTCTGCATTTTAGAGCAAGAAGTAAGACTGTTTCCTTGTCCCTCATGGTCACATGGTGAGCAGTTAGATCTATCAGTTTTGACTGAAAATCAGTGTGTGACAAAGAAAACACACATTCTTTGCTGTGCTTGTTAGTCATATATTTGGTACAGGTTTGGTAGTGACAAAGTGGACTGTTCAATCATTTGTTATAATAAAACGTGCACTTTTCTATCTCTCCAAAGGTGTCACTGGTGTTACTGATCCTTTTTTTCATGAATAATGCATTTTACAGATTGGCTGCTACAGAGCATCAAACCACATGTTGTCAACCATGGAATATCCACTAAAATATGGAATATTCTATTTTTTCACAATTACCTCAGAATAAAGTCGGTCACACCAGTGTCTTCAGCTAAAAGCTTCATATAAAATCATGAGCTAAATGAGAAAATCTCTGATAACTGACAGACACAATGGACTCACCATGTGCTTTTCTTCATAGATCCTCAGAAAACAGGTAAAAGGAAGTCAAGTGATGTCATCAGTGTCACTTTTATTTCAAAAAAAGATTTTCTGTTACGCAGTAACACCAGTGACACGACTCCTGGGGACCACAACTCTCATTATATATTTTCTAATATTTATTTGGCATTTGTTTTCTTTATGTCATTTAAATAATATATTTCATAGTCATGTAGATTATTGTAGTTAAAATTGCAGAAAAACCTGCAAATATGGCCTCAGCCTTTACACATGACAATAAGGATGAGCACTTCTGTGGTGCTTGGAATTCTAGATAATTAAACTAGATTTAAAACTAATACTGCTAAATTGAGGCTCAAGAAGATGTAATTGTTAAAATAACTTTGTATTTTTCAATATAAATAAATTGTAACCCTAACATGTTTCTCAAATGTAATATATCTGTAAACGATAAGGACACAAAAATGGACGTTTCCATAGAATGACTGTATAGGGTCACTCAAAGCAAAAATATTTTAGACTAAAGTCCAAGTCAGGTTAAAGTCTGAAATGTGTTCAAACTCTGACTTTGATTCTGTAGAAAAGTCCATATACATCATAACAGAATGACAGCACGTTAACTAAATGCAGCGCGCTGAGCCACATCCTAACAACAGCAGGAACTTACTTTCACTTTAAGCGTCTGTTTGGACACGTGGTGAGAGAAACGATAATAAAACAACACCCACTGTTTATCACTCACTAATGTGCCACTACTGCTGTTACTGTTTACCCCTCAAAGAACTCAGTAACGCTGAGCTAAAGCACTGGCTGGCAACGTGAGTTTGATGGGATGTAAACAAGACTGTTGACTGACAACCACAACACACCCAATCCAGCTAATCAGGAACTTCGAGTATTTCATTTGAAAGCTTAGTGTGTTATACTGGAGTTGTATGTTCATTAAAGCAGATCTTGATCAAAGCAGATCAACCTAAAAGGTACTGATTCAACTGCATACATTCAGAATGTTAGAATCGATTATAATAATATTTAGAGATGGCATTTCAGTATCGAGCCGATATCAGCAGAAAATGGTGAATAAGCTACTGGAGGGGGAAAAAAAACTGCACAGCATTAGTCTCTCTATTTCAGGGAAGAGCCACAGTCTGTGGTAGATAACCAGCTGACAGAGCCTTACATTATCAGAGGAAGCCGGCATAGTTTATCTCACTTTCAAACATCCCTGACAGTCTTTTACATTAGAAAAGTGGAGCTGGCTCAGTCTGCTACAGTAAAGGAACTTTGCTGACTATATCCACACTGAATTTTACACGAGTGCACAGGGACGTAAAGATGCAATGGAACATAAAGATTTAGACCAAGAGCTGTTTAAACCATAGCTATTTAGAACGACATGATGTTCAAATTTAACCAAATGCAATCACAACACATTGTTAAAAAGCGAAGTCTGGATGTGCTGAAAGCAAACACTGAAGAGGACACATCCCCACATCCCCCCATCAAATCTATGCCTATGGACATCTGAAATGAGAAAGTGGTATCATGCCATGTCTAATAATATTCATAAATTTCAGTTCTGAGAAACCCGCGTATGAGAGAACATTCTTTTCTTAAGCATCTCATTAATACACTCAAAAAGCCCCCACATTCAGAGGTAGTGTCCGTCTCAAAACTCACTAAATATTGTATGCGTTAAATATGACATTGAGACTTTAAGCTTTCAGTTCACCATTTCTGTATTTTAAAATAAATTCTGAATTGTCCAAACCAGCTTCAGCGAAATCGTGGTGAAATCTGAGACTTCTGCCCAGAATCATTTTTTTAAAGAATTGAAATCATTGTGAGGTCAAATATTTATACCCCTCATACCGTGTCATAAATGGGCCAGTCAGGAGACTGGGCCTCGCAGAAGCCGCTGTCTGTGCCGTTGTCTTCAGGGATGGAGGAGTTGCGGCAGGAGCAGGGGTAAAGCATCTGAGAACTGTTCACGATCACAGGGTTATCCAGCCAGTCTGTGCGTCCGTTCCAGCCACAGCAGTGCATCTGTGACACAAAGGACACAAAGCGGAGAGAAGACGGAGCGTGAGCACAAAGCTCACAGGAAGGGCTTACATAGCCCCACGGGCTTTTGAAGCCAGAGTCAGTTTTATGTGTTGCTGTCTTTTTTTAATTCTAACTAAAACATACATATAGTTAAGATGTAAACAAAGTTATTCAAGCTAAATGCTCTGGTCCAGAGAAGCTTACTGAGTCTGTACACTGTACACAATGACAATGGTAGGAACCAGACATCACTGTTTAATGCCTCTAAAAGCTAGCTCACAGAGAGTTATTATAAGAAGTGGTTATGGACGATACTTTACCTGACATCTAGGACATGTAGCACAAGATCTTAGCCTAAAACTTACTTTTATAAAATCCATTCTTGGCAGAGGGGGAAAAGGCAGGACATTCCCATTCAAAATAGCCCCCAGTGATTTTACTTTTTTTTAAACCAAGATTTTAGTATTTTACCATGATCATTACATATGAAAACTCAGAAGACATACATAGGATTACTGGTCATTTGGATAGTGAAAAAAAGCTATATTTGCATTGTGACCCCTGGTTCCTATCACCATCACTATCAACAAATCTGAGGCAGCAAGTTTTTATAATGAGCCACTTCACATCAAAACACTCAGAATGACACTGTTTATATCTCAAAGACTGAATTATGCAGCACTTCTTAAAAAGTGGAATTCCCCTTTAACATGTACTATGAAGTAGAACAATAGAACATATATGACAAGGTTATGCATTCACATTCAATTCAATTTTTGTCCCTACTAATCACAAGATGTCCTATCTAAAGCACTCAACAATGCTTTAAAAACTCATAATAAAATTGTGTTTCACATTCTGGCACAGGCTGATAACAAACAAGGTAAGATCTGTCTCTGTTTCCCTTTCTCTGACAGTTAGTGTCATCCTTCCTCACCATTATCTCCAGCAAGTGCTTCAACATTCCCGAAGCATAGCCTCACATAATAACAGTGTGTTTACCATCGTGATACATGGTAACTGCCATCTGGTACTTCTCTAACACCCACTGTGAACTGAAGACAATCTGCAATTTGCATGTCCATTCTGCACTCACATTCCTCTGGATGTAGTCCCAGGCCAGCTCCGTAGTCTTGTTCTGCCCATGGTAGTTCTGCAGGATTTTGATCACGATGCTGGATGTCTCAGTCCTCAGCTGAGAAAAGAGAAAACCGAGGCTGACTTCGTAGGCATTACAGTAGGCGAACACCTGTGTCAACTTACCATTATTGTACCAATGGACATCTGGTCCCATGCACAAAACTACGCAAACCAAAGTTCACCCACAGAATGAAATTGCACAACGCAATGGGATTCAAAGGAGAACTGATTTGACTGTTGTGTTTTCCTAACTTCAGGTGCCTCACGACCAGAGATTCACCTTTGCTGACTAAGGAACTGGAAAAGCCATTTAATAACTGTCATCATAACATAAACTACATTCTTCCGTCTGCCACAGACATGATCCATCCAACACAAGCCTGCCTGAGATGTGAACATGAGAGAAAAAAAGTATTTATATTGGAAAACCAGCTCTCTCGCTCTATAGTTATGTTTGTCTAGTCTTCACTTGGCCAGGGAAGATCTTGCCTTTCAACCCAAGTCTGTCTTTAACGACTAAATAAATCAGTGTCTCCAAGCTAAATTCCTGCTTTACTGCATATCCTGATCAGATGCTTCCCTTCAGCTTTTCAAGGAGACAAGAAGTTGGCAGAGAGTTCCACTAACCCAGTTTCTTGTTTGTGTGTGTGTGTATGTATAATGTTCCTGACCTTCCTGGGGACTCACTGAACTCTACTACGGTCAGTAACATCGATCAGAAAATCATACAGCTCTGAAAGTGATCAAGGCCCATTTGCACAAACACAATGGCCAATATCCAGCCGCCTCTTAAAGACCCCAGTGTAACAAACTGCACATGCAACAGGGGGCAGTGTGCCTTTAAGTTCTGAGGAAGACGGTGGCTCTCAAGGTCTATTTGCTTTGTTCTAGAAACAAACCCTGACAATGAACGCAGTGAATGCTGGAAAATCCTCTACCGTGACCCCATAACCTCTCCAACTGATACACATGTGGACCATATGTATTTTTCTTTCTGAGGAATATTTCAAGGTCTTCTGAGGCCAGTCATGAAAAACAGCTATAAGGTGACATAACTCACCACGTCCCGCTGGAAATAGATGAGAATAGCTGCAGCCACCTGAGCGATGAGTATGAGGAGCAGGCAAGTAAAGTACTGTAAAACACAAACAAATGATTAGCATTCAGGGTTCTGCCATGTTGGAAAACTGCTAGTGAACAAACATCTGCACACATAGATTCTGATACAGAAAGTCTTATTTGTAAGTAAATCTACTTAGCATTGCTGACAGCAAGCATATCGCTGTTGTCGGAGGAAAACCTCGTATCTCCAAAATGATAACTTTACAGGGAAGGAAAAAACCTACTTTACTTTTAATGTAAGTCAATGGAACCAGACTTTTTTCCAAGTCATTCTGGGTCGTTTCTTTTAGTCCATTCTTCATGAAATTTACATACAATGTAAAAGTATTTTCAAATTAAGTCAAAAACTGAAAAACATCAAAAATTGAGATACGAGGTTTTCTTCCGACAACAGCGATATATTGGTGGTCCACTGGCTTGATAAGGGCAGAACCCCATTGACTGTATGCCACTGCTGGTCCACCCTCCAGCTACCTGGATTATTGTCCTGCATACAAGGTCTAACTAGTACGATGAATGAGCAACGAAAAGTGGCATTTTGTCTAATACTCTGCTTAGCCACCAGTGGGCCACCTGGAAAACGCTGAGCAAAAAGCCAGTGGGCCGCCAGCTTTGCCATCAGCAAACCAACAGTGGCCTGCTATCCCCTTGCTATCTGGGATCATGTGACAACAAATGACTAGTGTTCCATGAAGCACCCCATGTGACACGGGCACAGTACTTAGCATTTGCATGACTTGTGCAAAGCCATGTTTAGTTTAGCGCTGGAGCTACGAGGCTAATGCTGCTAACAAACACTAGAATCCAATAATCACTCAAATCAGTATCCACAAATACATCCCCAAAACTTCTCTGAACCAGCTCAAACTGCATTCAGGTCTTCATTACGAACAGGTGTTGTGCAGATTTTTGACTCCCCCGCAGAATCTGGTTCCCCTTTGCTTGTGCGCATGTCAAACAGGGATACTGACTCTAGATTATATCCGTGATTTCTGTAGTTTTCATTTATAAACATATCTTCAGTTAGAAAACTCAAGATTAAAGGGGAATTACATCCAAAGTTATGCATAATTAAATGCTTAAGATGTAAACAAAGTCATTCAGAGTGGACTGATGTGAAATGCACCATTCTAAAGAAACGGAGCGAATCAAAAATGACCACAGTGGTGGTAATAGGAGCCAGATGTCAGAGGTGGTTAATGCCTCTAAAATTGACCTCCCAGAAAACCATTACATGAAAGGGTTACAAATGCATTGCCTGATGGCTGAGACATTTTTTGAGAGATGTTGTCCTAAAACTTATTTTCATAGATCTGTTCACGGTGGAGAGGTATACGCAGGGTGTTGTAGACCAAAACCTTTTTTTTTCTCTATTTTACTATTATCAACATTACAAATAAAATGTGTATATAAAATATGTATGTGTAAAATATGTCAAACATAAAGACATGTATGTTTATGGTTATTTAGGCTGTTTTGCACTGGAGACATCACAACACCTGGTAAAGAAATCAGAGTTGGTAAGTTCCATTTCACATCAAACCACTCTGAATTACTTTGTGTATACCTACTTTAACACACACACACACACACACTCACACACATATTCTCTAAGCAGCTTATCCTGCTGGGTCGTCGAAGAGGCGCTAGAGCCTGTCCAAGCGCTCACTTGGCGGAGGCCAGGAAACACCCTGAACAGGTTGCCCGTCCATCACAGGGCAGACACACCCATACACACACAGTCACACACACAGTCACACACACAGTCACACCCCTAGGGGCAATTTAGAATCTCCAATTCGCCTGACTGTATGTTTGGACTGTGGGAGGAAACCGGAATATGATTACTGACACATACTGTTTGTTAGCAATGTTAGCCTCTTACACCAAACACGTCTTGGCTGACTGACTACATCTGTGGGAAGTGGAAAATTGCGTACATTTGATTTTTCACTGAAACATTCCATTATTGAGAGAATATTTCCATGCATCAGTGTGTCTTACCAGTCCAAGCAGGCAGCGGATCTCATAGATGGCTCCCAGACAGCCCAGGAAGCCCATGAGCATGGAGAAGGAGCCCACACCAATCAGAATGTAGGAGCCCACCTTTAGTGCCGTAGATGAGTCCTCTGCAGAGAAATACTGGCACTCAGTGCAATTCAAGTGCTTTCAAAACACTGGGAGAAAAAGGATGGATAAAAGAAAAGACAAACTGCTGTGCAAGATTAAAGGTTTTGTTTTGATTTCAGGCCTGACTTTTTTGACCACCTTGGCTATCAATCTTCCCTCTTCTCCTTTACTTTTTACAACTAGCAAAAACAGCTGTAGTAAAATAATATATTGAAAAGTCACACTCCAAAAGTACCAGATGATCTTATTACAGCCGCATTTTTATTGCAACTATTTCAGCAACAGCTAAGGCCAAAACCATTCACTCTGCTGCAGGGTCTTGCCAGCGATCGCGTCTGGCGTAGTCATGCTGAGGAGCACACAGCCTGGAGCAACACTGTCAGCTTGGACCAGGAAGACGCTGTCTGAATGCTATGGCGCGCTTCTCCGGACACAGATTAAGCACTAAATCACACTCTCAGTAGGGAATCACCACTGAAAAATCTTCTGAAAAGTCTCAGCCTAAGCCGGTGTCTGAAAACACTACACGTATGTGTGGTTAAGATAGGTTTGGCAGGCTTTCCATAAGAAGTCAGTCATTTTTGTGAATACACGGCATGACACTGAGGCTCGTGGACTACCACAGCAAGAAATTCTCCGGTTTCAGCTTTCAGAGGTCAGAACATTCTCGGAACGTGTCCTGGTCCAGCTTCAAAAAGGCCTACGCAGGCTGTCGGCATGCCAGACTGAGGACCCTCTGTCTCAGTCTTACAAAACAGCCGGCAACACCGCGGTGGCTCCACAGCAAGAACAACATCACCGCAGGCAGCCCCTCTGAACAATAGCACAGTGTACAGTAGCCCTGTGAAAGCTGCGAGTGAGTTTGTGTGACAATGGCTTACACCAGACACAATAGCACGTCAGTTGACCTGATGTAATCAGCAGTACCTGCTATCTCATTCTCCAGCATGACCGCATATGCCACAAAGATCACATTAATGGCTGAATCAATCACAGAGATGAGTCAAGAAAGCCTTATCTAACTCTTTCACTGATCAACACATTCCAACCTTAAATCATCTGAAGAGATTTGAATGGAGTGCTGTGTTTGGGGGAATTCTTCTTCAAACCAGTCTCTTAAAGGAACAGGACTGCTGATCGCATTCACTGTCCACTACACAAACCAATTCACAGCTCGACTAGCATGTGGACTGGGTATTTTTTTGTGGCTCTAGTCCACAACCATCTCAATCTCCTTTTGGCCTGGAGAAAGAGGTCTGCGTTATGTCAGCCTGGAGAACGGAGCTCAGTTACTCTCAAGTAATTAACTGTACTGTTAATTACGGAGGAACGTAATAAAAAACATGAACATTTTATATATTTAGATCTGGACAGAAAGTCCAGATATCACCTTTTCATAACATTTGGTAAACATTATTCGCATAAAATTCAACAACAACAGCCTAATGAAAGAGAATTCTTATGTGAAGTCTTATTCTTAACAAAGCAATTTCCTTGCTGCAGGGCTAACCACTAGACTCAGTAAAAGTCAACCTCAAAGCTTTGGAGAGGGGAGCCTTACTGGAACATGAAAGCCCGGATCCTTGTTTGAATTATGTTCTCCATGACAACTTCTCCAAAGAGGCACCACCAGAGTCTATAAAAGAGAGACTATGTTCCCAAGGTAAACGCAGTTTCTATGTGTTTCTGTGCATTGTGTGTGTGCGTGTGTGTGTGTGTGTGCGCAGTGTGGAACTAGCAGACGCTCCGTTCGCCCAGTACGCCTGAAGTGTCTTGGTGCGTAGCGGAAATGTGGAAATCCTCTGGGGATCAGCAGGCTAGAGAAGGCTGCTGGTGGCTGGATTAGAAAAACAATGGCGTTCTGAAAACTCGCTCTTTTTTAATGATGGAGCGAGGGGGCTCCCCAGCCTATGGACGGCTGGGAGTCCCAGCAAACGACCGCCAGCCCCCACACTCTACAGGAATGTGTCCGTCTGGTAAAATACAGCACACGGAGGGGAACATGAGCCATGGACACATGCGCAGTGAGGCCCTCTTGTCATCGACCTGAGCTTTCTTTAATCAGGGTTCACACTCAGCACCATTCATGACCTAAACACGTATGGCTCCCTAAAGGCTAGTGCAAAACTTTCCATGATGCCACCCCCCCTTGGCTTTGGTCAAGAGCTCTATGCTGAGCACAGAACTCTTAGCTTCAAGCTTTGAGATGCTCTCCATTAACCCCTGTTCAAGGACGGACCCATGCCAAATCGATGAATTGAGCGGATTGTTCACAGCCTCCGCATTCAAAGCGTCAACAATGTAAACTTGTGCCAACTGCCTTCAGCCACGCTGAGAGAAGCTTCACTGTGGCCTCTTTTTCATTTGGACTCTTTGAGACAGTTAGTTTGTGTGTCGTTGTGTGTGAGAGAAGGAGAAAGTGAGAGCGCGTAAGAAAGAGACAGAGAGCGAAATGAGAGAGCCTCATTCTTCTCCTCTGCAGATATACTTGCTCACCAATGTTAATTTGTTCTCACCGATGACTAACGTAGCTAGATGGCTGATCTGAGCACTGACGTGATGCATGCTAATGAGCAAGTGGCTAAATGAGCCCAGTGTGGTGCGGGTGCAGCACCTGCACACTGCCTCAGACGCGCTACGTCACCCACAGGCCCTGCCTGGCTCTCACTACCAGCCCGGTTAGTCGGGTTTGTTCGGCTTGGCCCGTGAACTCGGGGCCTGTTCCTCAGCCAGCGCCGGCCTTCTTGGCCCCGTTTGGAAGACACAGACCCACTGACCCAGAGCTGCCTGCAACAGCCTGCGGGATGGAAAACAGATCTGTGTGTGTGTTTGTGTGTGCGCATTTGTGTATTTGTGTGTGTGTGTTTGTGTGTGTGTGTGTGTGTGTGTGTGTGTGTATCCATAAGAGTGAGAGAAAGAGAGCAAGAGAGGGGGAGGTGGTGATGAGAAATTCAGAGACCATCTCAGAGAGTCTGTCCAACAGACTGCATCACGTGGTACAGCAAAGACGCGAACCAGCAGTGATCATCAAACAAAACACAAACCAGAGACAGATGGTCCAGTAAAAAGTTCTGCACTACTGAGTCACAACGCCGAAGGTTTTTTGTTCAGAGCTGAGACAGGAGAAGAGCTAACAGGATCCCCCACTAATGAGAGCATAAAGAAAGAGTCTCCCCTCACGACTTCCTGTGCTCCTTCACTCCCTAACGGGAACTACACCACAAGAGAATAGAGCACATACTCACTGTTATTTAACTGTATTTTTCATCGTGTAATCAATTAATGACAAATGAGCCAACTGAACTGGTCCAAAACCACTTGGAATAAAAGCTTGTTCTAGTCATGAATCATACTGTGCATAAAGTCACACTTCATTTATTTCATTTCCAGTCAAAATGGCCATTAAGTAGAAGTTTATTTCATTTTTCATGAGATAATTCTGTGAAGAACAGACATAAGATTATTAACTTGCAAAAGAAGGGGAAAGTCAAAGAAAAATAAGTGGGGAAAAAACAGGCGTTTCCCAAAAAAATTATTATAATATATAAAGAAAATGGGACTCCTGACAAACAGATCTGAAATAAAACGTGTTGCTGTCCATCCTTCCACTGAGAGAAGACAACACTATGGGTAAGAAAGGATGTGTAGCTGTTAAGAAGCCGTAACTAAGAAAATGAAACAGACAAATAAGTAGATTTTCAAATTAAACAAATAAGCTGCTGGTGTTTTTGGAACAATGGACTGACCACCCCAGAGTCCAGACCTCAACATCACTGAATGTGTTTGGGATTGCTCGAATCATAAAAAGCAGAAAATGCAACCAACTTCTAAGACTGAACTTATTCCTGCAGATTTCTTAGAAAAACTGAAAGTAAGTCTTGCAAATAATGGAAGCGGTAAAAGAATGCCAAGAGTGGACACAATAAATACTGAAAACTGGATATTATAATTAGTTGTTGATTCTTCTGTGTAATTTTCTGTAAAATATATGTTTTCTACATTCTTTCTTGACACTGAAAAAACGAATAACATGCTCTGAATGGCTGTTTTGACTAGAAATTAAATAAAAGAAGGGGTGGTGACTTTTGTGCAGTACTTTTAAAGTCAATTACACTTAGGTTGCACTTTTTCCTTCTTTCCTTCTCCTATCATTTTGGACATATAAAGATTTTTGATAAAAGAGTCAGTGGAAAATAACTAATGCAAATATAAAGAGCTTATTAGAACTTGGAGCCCACTGGAGTGAATCCACATGAATTATTGGACGTCCTCCTTTGCAAAAGGGGGTGCTACTTTGGTTACACTGAGAATACAGACACTGACTTACGCAAGACTGCAATGAAGCTTTGATTGTCCAAGAGGATCCAGAGTCCAAAGCCCATAATCAGGGCTCCAAATATCTGCAGAGAGAGAGGAAAAAGAGAAGAGAGGGCAAGAGACACAGAGAGAGAGAGAGGGCAAGAGAGAGAGAGAAAGAGAGAGAGAGAAAATTAATCACATAGTTGGGGTTGAAGGGGGAGCAAGGCGCCCCACATTTTCAATTTACAAGCTGCAACTTGTTCACTCCAAATCTCCTGGAAGGGACTAAGCTCGGAACCGTGTGAAGCCTGCTAGCATGCGTGAGCGTGTGCATGTATGAATGTGTTGCATGCCAAAATGTCACTACATGTTTAAGTCAGCAGCGATGTCTGCTTGCATGTATGCACATGCATATTGTGTGTGTGTGTGTGTGTGTGAGTGTGTGTGTGGGTGGGTGTCTGCCAGAGTGTGCTAGAGACACTAATCCTAGCCTGTAGGGAGTTGAGCTGTGCGCTGTTCTAAGCACAGGGTTCCAGGCTCTCTCTCTCTCTTCTCTCCCCCCCTCCGCACTGCGCTAACATCTGGGACTGATTGGGCCATGCCTCTGCGTGGCAGCAGGGGGAGGGGGGGTTTTGCAGCGGATGTGGCCTCTACTTGAGAACACCACTGCTTGCCCTAAACGCACCCCATCAGTCTCCCGCAGCCACTGTCCAGTTCATAGTTCAGCTGACTGGAGTGCCTCTTCCAGGCTCACAGCCAGCGCCACCATTCCTCAGTCTTCAAGTCTGTCGTCACAGTTTCTGCTGTGACATCTGGGTGTTTTAGGAATGGACAATAACCCAAAGTGTTACACTGCAATATTTTAGGATTTAAAGAGCCCAAATGCCAACTTTTTCCACTTATACCATTTGTGTAGGTTTATGTACCAAATACAGTCATAATTCATTTTTACATGGCCATTTTAGAAAAAAAGTTTTTCCCTAAGAATTTTTTGGTTACTGGGCCTTTATGTAAATGAGGTCTGCTCTGATTGGCTGCCCTGTATCAAGCTTTTCAAAAAGCTGAAACTCCTTAGAACTTTGTTTTGTAATATCATGAACTGAAATAAACTGTTTTTGCAGGATAATTTCCATATATGGAGCATACAGACTGAAGAATGAATGGTAAATTTTGAAATGTTAATAAAGTCTACATAGTTCATTAAACTTTTATTTAGAAAAAAAAATTAAGAAAATTGCGTTTTGCTGACATGATACAAGGAGTTACTCTTATAAACCATTCCCAAATGCAGCTAATTACCTCTAGCAATGAGAAGGGTAAGTTAGAGAGGGGATTAAAGCAGGAGTTCAATATTGTGGTTAGAGCTCTACAATACTGACAGAATACCATATTGCAACTGTCCATTTGCAATATACTTTAAGATGTATTGAAAAGACATCAGTGAACCACAATGGTGCTTTTAAATGTTGGCGGCAAACCAGATATTCTATTGTTTTTCAATGGAGCAGCTATGGAAAATTCTGCCACCATCAGCAGCTTATCGCCCAATTTTCCCAACTTTTCAGCAATTAAATAAACTGGATGTTGATTTTTTTGGTGAGCCATAGATGCCAAACATCTCAGTGATGAATATCAGGTGCACCCAGTATTACACAGCAAAATTAAAAGAGTACAGAGCGTCGTCTTAATCATCTATTTTCTCTGTTATCACTGTCACAATGGTAATATTTTCATAGTTACCTGCTGCCTTCAGTTACTGCGATGAGGAACAGAGTGACCTTTTTTCAATGCCAACATGAAACATACACGTAGCATAAAGCTTAAGGATTGGTCTGTACTGTTTTTGCACAAAATTATTTTTATTGCAACATATAAGGGTCATTCTACAGAAACGTCCATTTTTGTGTACTGATATATTACACAAACATGTTAGGGTTACAATTTATTTATATTTTTAAATAAAACAATAAGTTATTTTAATAATTACACCTCCTTCAGCCATTAATTTAGCAATATTGGTTTTTAAATCAATTATTTCAAATTCCAAGCACCACAGAAGCGCTCGTCCCCACAGTCATGTGTAAAGGCTGAGACCATATTTTGAAGAAAAAACGTTTTTCTGCAATTTTAACTACAATAATCTGTGCATGACTATGGAATATTTAAATTAAGTGACAAAGAAAACAAATGCCAAATAAATATTATAAAATATATTATGAACGTTGTTGTTCCTAGGTGTCGTGTCACTGGTGTTACAGCATAACAAAAAATCTCTTATTTTGAAATAAAAATCACACTGATGACATCACTCAACTTCCTTTTACCTGTTTTCTGAGGATCTATGAAGAGAAGCACATGGTGAGTCCACTGTGTCTTTCAGTTATCAGAGATTTTCTCATTTAGCTCATGATTTCATATGAATCTTTTAGCTGAAGTCACTGGTGTGACCGACTTTATTTGTAGGTAATTGTGAAAAAATAGAATACAAATGCATTAAATTCCATATTTTAGTGGATATTCCATGATTGACAACATGTGGTTTGATGCTCTGTAGCAGTTATTTTGTAAAATGTCTCTGGTGTTACCTTTCTTAAGTGCAACACCAATGAGGATCGGTAACACCAGTGACTCCTATGGATGGACTGGATAGATAGAAAAGTGGACGTTTCTGTAGAATGACCCATAAAGGCTCTGACTCATCTAAACATCCCAAAAAGCCTCTAACACTGGCCAGGATGCTGACAACACACAAAACATGCAGTGATCGGTTAAAGCCTCATCTGCATATTGCAGTCTGTGATAACAGTACTGCAAAAGCCACGATAAAGATCTAAAAAATGATACACTGTGCATCACAGCATCTTTCCAATATGGAACTGATTACACTTGGAAGTGCACAATCAAAAAAAAAGTTCACACAGTAAGTGGCTGATCCAACATGAGAAAATGACATGCTAAAATAGAAGTGCTGATTCCAGTTCAGTGGCACTACAAGTCCGTGCTGCCTGGCGATCAAGGCTGCAATCCACCAAACCACGGCTCTTTCACCTCATTCTCTGCATGGCTTAACCTCACGGCCCATGACAAGCCCAGAGAGAGAAGGACTCTTCAGGCACTGTCCTGAGGCGCAGCTCTGATATGAGCATATGTGTGGGGGGAAGCCCCGTCACAGATCACACTCCAAACACATGGGGATAATACTGCAGCTCCTGCTGCATTGTTTGGATGTGAAGGATCATGGCCTGTGATTTAGAGGGTGTAAGCCTGGATAAGAGGTTTCATTTTCTCTGAGTGGGGGCAGAGCCAGAACAACAGGGAACAGACGGGCTCTCTCATTCAGAGGCTGAACGCTGCCAGAGAACCAGAGCTGTAAACACTTTATCTGCACTGTAATTATGAGGCTGTCTTTCAAGAGAGAAATCAAAATAGAAATGGACAAATAGATGGATAGAGACAAATAGAGATAGACAGACAGACAGATAGACAGACAGAAAGACAGACAGATAGATAGATAGACAGACAGACAGACAGACAGACAGACAGATAGATAGAGACAAATAGAAATAGATAGACATATAGATAGAAAGACAGACAGACAGACAGACAGATAGATAGATATATAGACAGACAGACAGACAGATAGATAGATAGATAGATAGATAGACAGATAGATAGATATATAGACAGACAGACAGACAGATAGAGACAAATAGAGATAGACAGACAGATAGATAGACAGACAGAAAGACAGACAGACAGACAGACAGATAGATAGAGACAAATAGAAATAGATAGACATATAGATAGAAAGACAGACAGACAGACAGATAGATAGATAGGTAGATAGATAGATAGACAGATAGATAGATATATAGATAGACAGACAGACAGACAGACAGACAGATAGAGACAAATAGAGATAGATAGACATATAGATAGAAAGACAGACAGACAGATAGATAGATAGACAGACAGATAAGTAGATAGATAGATAGATAGATAGATAGATACACAGACAGACAGACCTGTAGATAAATCTTTAGTTAGATATCTCTAATCAGACGTTTTAGCTGGATGACAAGGTGTGTCGAAATATGGGTGGGGTTGGTTGGCACACTGATCTACTGTCATAAACACATTTCATTATGTTTTACACATGAAAATTACATAACCTTCAACAGTAATTGTTCACAACCACTGCAAGCAGGAACAAACAGTTTAAATGCTTTAAAATGAAAGACAGAAGAAAATGAAAGAAGAATAAGAAGAAATGTTGAACAATTGTTTAAAAAATTATTAATAAATATTTAGGCAGGCATCAGTATTGAAATATGGGGCCAGTGCTAATAGTTAATATTTTCCATGTACATATCTGCCGATGCTGAACACAAACATTTATAAAATGCAGAAATCTACCTGGATTTGCATTTTGGAAATGGAAATGTAACGTTTCACCTTACAGTGATATTAATAAAGCAGGAATTAAAGAATGAAATGCAGATATTTCAGCACAGTAACCCAGTGCCACCCAAACATTCTGCTCTTTTAGAGTACAATAAATACGTCATCAAATATCAGCTTGAAACAACAGTTAAATATAAATATCTGCCAATATCGATATGTTTCTGCCATCATCATGCATGCCTAGAAATCTTTAAGCTGGTGACCAAAACATTTTTATTACACTTTGTTATTATTATTCCTCTTATACAGGCCATGAAAGTATATATCTATCATGTTTTATAAATGGTTATTGGTTAAAAATGAAAAGACATGCCATTGAAAATCTAATCATTTCTGTTTGTTGTTCGTTAAACACTGAAGGATTTTAATGTTGTTCCAATGGTGCCCATAACATTCAATTCAATGTTGGGGCAGGTTGGCACAAGTGCACAACCTGACTTTAATGATCAACTAACGTCAGCAAATTCTTTCAGATATTCACTGTGTCTGTTTTCAGTTGAGATCTTAAGCTTTGGTTTTCTGATAACTCTGTTATCCTAATGTACGTTACACTCAGAATGCATGACACGTGTTTTCTTCTCTTAAAATGACACTGTAAGGTCCCCTTTGGTGTCTTGTAAACACTAAGAATGCACACTTCCCAAAAGAAAACAGTCTTATTTTTATGGACTGCGAACTGTTATTTCAAAACGATGTAAAGCATACCTTGCAGTTAACTATCAGGTCCTGAATAACATGTAAAGTGGACAAAATAGAAGCTGGAAACAAACTGCTTGGCAACAGGAACGTCAACATTAAATGGGAATTATATCATGGACGTAATACTCATTGTCAGACATATTGATAAAATACTGTTAAACTGAAAAGCTGTTTCACGATGTGTCAATATTGTGGTATATCAGTATAAACAGTTTATAGCCCTGCACTAATTTAAGGGCTGAACGTGGGGCCTAATTTGAGACTGCAACAGCTTACACAGAACCCATTCTCAAGCACAAAACAGTACAATGACTGTAATGCTTCCAAGAACATCAGTGCTACACGCTGGGAGAATGGGAACACGCAGATGATAGAGGCAGCGCTGTTAAAAGCATCAAGCGTGCCTAACGCTGGAGAAAGGATCAGCTCCTCAAAAACACAGCAGCTGGAGGAACTGGGACACCCAAATGGGAACACTCTGAAAACCTGTTCAACACATCCATTTCATTATGCGAAATGAGCGCGCTGGAGGAGAGCCTGTATGTTAATGCTACTTAAGTCATTTGAATTTAACGGATTTGAAGCCTATTATTATTCAGATTAAGCAGTAAAATGCTGTCAGCTACGAGAATCAACAACAAAAGATGAACGTAGATGGAATGAGTGTGTGCACTCATTAACTTACAAGCAGTCGTTAATTTATGAAATTATTAACACATTCAAGTGTTTTTATGGGGGAAACTTTTTAAACATTTCTACCTAATTTAATCATTTGGATGTAAACCAAGTTATTCATAGTGGTTTGATGTGAAATGATCTGTTCTAGAGAAACTTACCAAGTCAGTATTCACAGCAGTGGTGATCAGAAGCAGACGTCTGAAGAATTTAATGCCTCTAAGGCCGCTGTATGCCTGGGACATTGTTTTACCATAATTTTGAGATAATATTTTGGCTTCAAATATATACTGAAAACCCATGCAAGATGGAGCGGTACATGCAGGACACTGAAAGACTTTTTGCAGGTTTACCTCTATTCTACCATTATCAGCATTACACAGGCAAGCTCAGACGCGTAGATCCACAGCTTGTTTTGGACAAAACATAAAATGGTTGTATCTGTGTTTTAGACACCGCATCCCCCATCACCACTACTGTGAAGAAATCTGAGCCAGTAAGCTTCTCTACTATGAATCATTTCACATCAAACCACTCTGAACGACTTCGCTTACATCTCAATCGCTAAATTATGCAGAAATCTTAAGGAAAATCCCCTTCAGTTCAGTTCTGTGAATATCAGTACACCGATAGCATTCAAAAAGAGAAAGAGACTTACGAAGAAGAGCAGGTTGAAGAGAAACAGAAAGTACTTGGTGGCCGTGATGCAACCTTTCCCCATTTTGTTGACTCTGAAAAGAACCAGAAGAAAAACGGTCAATACAACTCCATGATATCACTTATCATTTATACACAATGCATATAGAAGATGGCTACAAAAGACATGTCATTACTCGACTTAGTGACAGTTGATGACTGCTCTAGGGATTTAGCTTTGAGAGAGACGTTTGTCACCAGAGACAAAGATTAACAATAGCAGATTCAAAGTTAAGCTGGTCTTTACTGGACCAAAAGGGTTGGATTACTGGAGTGATGTGAGCTAAATAACAACTAGGCCTCCATGCACAGCCGCCATACATCTACTCCATTACATACACAACAACACACTTAAACACAGTTTATTCTCAGCTGATACACTGAATACTACAGTCTAGTGGAGTAACAATACAACGTATCATCATATCATATTATTGTGTATCAAGGGGTACCAATAATTGGCCGATATCATCAAAAATGGACCAGATATCGGCAGGAAAACAATAATAAATCGAGCCTGAAACATTTAGACACTCATCATAAGTGGAAAAAAAAATAATTCCCCAGGTCATCTATGGAAAATAAGCTGCAAAAACTACCTGTTGTCAATTCATTGTTTTTGCGATGTCATGAAAAACGACCCATTTACATGAATCCACATTTTCAACCTACAGCAGTTTAGTCCCATCTATTTACACTGAAGTTATAAGGAGTGTTTGAGCCTGACCTGCTTTACAGTTACAAAACAGGCCTGTTTAATTCTAAAGGATAAGGAGAGATCCTGTAGAAAAGAAATTTTGGTACATAAAAACACACAAATGTTAGAAGCTGAGTTCAGGAGAAGAAACAAGAGATACGCAGAATATGAGCCCTTAAAACATCGTGGCCTATAACACGAAATTGGTATAAAATTCAACCCCCCTCAACAAAACAGAGGGCAGAAATTAAATGACAAATTTACATGGGTCATTCTACAGAAACGTCCATTTTTGTGTCCTGAGCTTTTACAGATATATTACACTTAAAAAAACATGTTAGGGTTACAATTGATTTATATTTTAAAATAAAACACTAAGTTATTTTAACAATTACTTTTAGTTAGCTTTTAGCTGAAGTCACTGGTGTGACCGACTTTATTCTGAGGTAATTGTGAAAAAATAGAATACAAATGGATTAAATTCCATATTTTAGTGGATATTCCATGACTGACAACATGTGGTTTGATGCTCTGTAGCAGCCATTTTGTAAAATGCATTATTCATTAAAAATGTCTCTGGTGTTCCCTTTCTTATGTGTAACAACATTGAGGATCAGTAACACCAGTGACTCCTATGGAGAGATAAAAAAGTGGACGTTTCTGTAGAATGACCCATATACTAGAAAAAAAAAAAGACTTATCATCTTCGATTGAGAGAAAATGTATTTGCTAACAGGTGGCGAAAGTGAACGACATATGACACCAAGGGATAAATGAACATAAACGCAATGATAGTGTATCTTTAAAGACAACCCTTTTCTTCTTCTTCTTCTTCTGCTGCTTCTCTCCCCCTTCTTTCTTTCTGGTATTGTTCTGATTGTGATATTGCTTCATTGTATACATCTATGCCTACTTGTAAAACAAAAACTCAAACACTTCAGTGTAAAAAAAACAAAAAACAACAAAGTAGCTTATAAAGAAAAAAATTGAATGTCAATAATCAAGGTTTCAATATCATTATCAGAAAAGTAAAAGTGGTATCATGCCATCTTTTATTACACTATAAATTACTGCAGCCAGCATATTAGCTTATGGCTAACGCGTTAAGATTGGGGCATACTTATGCTGTGCTATGCTAGTTTACATGCTGCTAAGACAGAAGTTTGAAAGAATCAGGCAAAACTCCACTGTGCCACTCTGAAGTCTTAAATAATGATCATTTACAATATTTAATGTTCTAATAAAATGAAAATGGAAACATTAACATTAACAAACATTAACATAAGCCATATTTTCAGGTACTCACTGTTTTCCCCGTATCGTAAAACGCACTAAACACCAGTATTGAACCAAATTAATAATTTTGCAAATTATTACACCCTTATAAAACTCTCCATCCAGTATACAGTGACAAAAAGCTCTTGTGGTCACATAATTCATGAAGTGAACAGAAGCAAAGTCCAAAGGATGGTTCAATATTCTCTCCTACAGCGTAACCATGCACTGACCCACATTCTGTTTGCTCTAAATGGGTTAGTGTTATTATGCAGGCCCGCTCCTGCCATTTGGAAGGCTGTTGGAAAGAGCAGTGTATGGCACACTTTGGCTGCCCCACTGTCCTCTGATGGACGGAAAGTATTGACTGCACACTTGCAGTTGCACAGGAAACTGACAGCCACTGCAGAGTGCCAAACACACAAGTGCGTTTACTAGTGAGAGAACACAGTTACGCCATGCGCCAGCTATTAACGTTCAACTACTAGACAGGCGCATTCAGAATTCTCCTACTGGGCCTTAGACTGCAGGGTCTTTTATACTGTCAGTCACTAAAAGAAACTACACAGCCCATTCACAGGCTACAGTGGGCACTGTTAACTTCTGAACAGAGATGCATGTGCGAAGATCAAACGTTTTGACACACTGCGTCAACCGTGACTCGTGATTCAGTGCTTTGCGCTTTCAGCAAGACCTTTCATGAAAAAAAAAAAAATAAAAGGTCATTTTAATGCCAACAGATGCTGTCACAGCTGAGGCATCAGTAGATAAAAGTGTTGTGAAAGTTGTCAGTTGGTAAAAACGGTATAACATGGAAAGTTATAGAAAGTTATATAGAGAGTTATGACGTTTGCATTAAGCAGAAAGGATTCCAGTGGTTTCAGAGGCGGAAATAAACAGAATCCACTCAGACAGCAAAACAAAACAAGCTAAGAATATCAATAACAATACTGCTACTGTTTCAGTGAAACCCTTACATTAAGTGCCAACTGTAGATAACTCACAGATGCAAATCACTTTGTCTTATCACATAAAACTTGTCCCTTAACCTAAAGCTCACTCTGAGTCTGAAATAAAAGAGCGGCCCAACTGTCTACTAACTCCAGATGTAGTTGATCAGCTAAGACACGTCTGGTGCACACATTTTGCTTTGGAGCTACGAGGCTAACACTGCTAACAAACACTAGAAATAAATAATCACCCAATTCTTTTCCATCATTCCCTCTCAACTCACTCAAACTGCATCCAAGTGTTCATTCAGATGGGTGCAGATGACTCAGGTAGTACAGACTGTGGAAATCTTAATAAAGACCTGGATATGGTCTGAGAGAAGTTTTGGGCCTGTATTTACATGAAGATCTGAGTGACTTTTGACTTCTAGCATTTGTTCACAACATTAGCTTCAGCACTAAAGAAGTCAAATCAGCACACCAAACGTGTCTTGGCCAATCGACTACATGAAAACTGGTGTCGTAGTGTTAAACCACACCTTCAACCTCGACTCTAAACCTAACCTTAACCATGATTCTAATCCTGGTTATCTCTAACTCTAAGTAAGGGTTAGTCAACTTTGACCAGATAGTTTCTTAACAATCTGAGCATTTGTAGATAACCTGCCATCAAAATAAAATATGACCTTGCTTTCTATGTCGTCTCCTAAACGTTTCAGAGAAGATTTCCTTCTAAAAAGATCCACCAGACGACCCAGCATCTGAAAGGATTCTGATGTGCTGAACTTCCTGGCTTAGCCTAGCAGAAATTGTTGGAGCAGAGTTGCTCTGTTGGGTAACTAACAGACTTACACTCAGCCAACCTTATAAAAACCCTTCTTGGCTCATTTCTTCCACGATGTCACAGATGTTAAAAACGTGGCTATTTTCAAACTGTAAAACACCCCAGAGAGCAAAGAAAAGGTCTAAAGTATCACATTACCTCCACAGCTTTGTCCTTTTCCCTTTTTCCCCCCTTTTCCCTTTTTCCCCCCTTTTCCCTTTATCTGTGACAAACCCATTGCTGCAGCCTGTTCCTTACTCTTTACATCATTCCCATCACTAAGGAGAAAGGGGCTAGACACTCTAAATAAAGTGTAGTATTTAATAAAGGGATCGGAATGAGGGCCTGCACATGGCCAGTACGTGGTAAGGCCATTATTTCTCCATGTGTGTATTTTAATGATCTGTAAGTGTGGCTACACCAGACATGCAACTGGCCCGACCTCCAGGGCAGGCTGCCACTAAAATGTGTGCCACAATCCACTTACTAAAAATTTAATTAGGCCAGTACAACACTGACAGAGTGGATCATATTTCTCTGCTTGGCTACTGTCACAGTTTACTTTCTCTACACCTTCCTTTCAGCTTTTTCCCCCCAAAGTTTCAACAGCACAACTGAGCAGATCTTAAACCAGGCAGATGGTATTATGCGTATTATGCACAAATGAAGCAACTTAAATGATGACATGTGTGAAATGGGATAATCTATTTCAGGTGTGTGTGTGGATGTGTGTCTGGCCTTTTAAGGAAATGTGTGTGTGAAAGAGCAGAACAGCTTCCCTAAGGGGCATCCAGGCTCAGTTCTCAGTCTGAAGATCATCAGCATTCAGCTCGTCTACCCAGCGTATACTGAGGCGCTGGTTAACACCCCATGGCCCTTCCTCCTTATACCCCCCCTCCTCCCCACACACACAGACAGACAGGGCCAGCTTTGATTTCCCACCACAACAATGGCAGCTTTCAGCCACGCTTTTCACAGCTGACAAAGGGAGAAACTCTACACACACTGAGGACGCACTCTAGCTTAAATTTACCACACCGCACAATGAGGCCCAGATAAGAGCTCGGCCTTCAAAACGCACAGCGTAAAATCGTTCGGCTGTCCCGAAACAGGCCCGAAAAAGAAGCCCACAGACTTCTCGGCCTGGGCTAAACGAGACTGCTTTATGAGGGGTTGCTGAACTTGACAGCAAGCGGCCCCACAGATGGCCCGACCCGGCGCTCCATGAAAGCAAAACGATTGCACGGCTATCTAAAGCCCATCCACTCTGTTGCCATCCGAGACAACTTAATTCAGTCTCCAGCATGCCAAGCACGTTCCTATGGCAACTATACAGCAGAGGCAAAAAAAAAAACTGGGGGTGCAGAGTGCCTCCTCTTGAGAAAGCAAATAGTCTCACGCTCCACTGTTACCGACAGCATGTAAACAAGAGAGAAGAGCCTCACGCAGAGCCAAGACCAACCAGAGCTCAGCAACCTCACCTCGACACGGTCGCTCTGGCCGGGCACAAGGCCCACATTCATTTGGAGGGTTAATTCTGGCACCTGAAGACAACAGACATCTGGACAGCTTCAGTCATTTTGAAGCGGGGTGCCACGATCACTGATACAGCTGTGACTGTCAGAGGTGCATGGAAAATATGATGCTATAAACAAACTGAAAACAAAAGCTTCTCAACAAAGAAATGCAGTTGCATACTGTTAGACATCCTCTTACAAGACGTTTGCAGAGGTTGTTAGTTTGTATGCAGGCATGCCACAAGGAAGGATCCTGTTTGAGTAAGAATTATGGAATGCAGTTAGACTGGACTCAGCATCAACAAAGGCCTATGGAAATATAGCAGCATGACTCAGATCCAGTGAAATGGGCACAGCTCTGCAACATGATCATATACAGGTTTATACTCATCATTATAGGGACTTTTTATTAGATCAGCACTGACAACATCCAATATCATGTAGGGCTGAACGATTTGTGGAAAATATCTAATTGCGATTTTTCCAACTAATACTGCGACTGCAATTTAAATTGCGATTTTTTGTTTTAAATTGAGATTCAGGCCTGATTTGTTTTGGCCATGAAGACCAGAACATCCACCTTTTTTGGCTTGAGTCTCAACCCCTTAACGTCATGTGTCAAACTGCCAGTAAGTTGTGGTTGTGATGTCACAACACATGGAGGTTTGGTTGCCTCTGATTGGTCTAACTTCCCCTCTGTGAACTTTAAATAACATTTTTGCTAATGTACACACTTAATAAAGATGGTTCTTCAATGGTTCGTCAGTACAGACAATGTTTCTATGTAGAACCATAAGGACTCAGACTCATTTGCATGCATAAAAAGTTCTCTGCGTGGTGAAACGGTTCTTCAGATTGATGGAGAATGTGTTGCATATGGTTATAGAACCTTTTTGAGTTCTCTGTAGGACCAAAATGTTCTTCTGTTGTTATAAGATTGACATCAACAAGCAGCTAAGTAACAATACCAGAACCCTTTTTGATGCTGTACAGAACCACATACAACACATTCTCCAATGTGAAGAACCATTTCACCATGCAAAGAACTTTTTATGCATGCAAAGGGGATCTGAGTGTTCACGGTTCTATACAGAATGACTGCCTTTACTAAAGAACTATTTTATAAGAACTTTGGAGAACTATATATTTAAGAAAATTGCATCGCAACTGTGATTTCGATATAAAAACGATTAATCTTACAGCCCTACTATGATGGGTACATATTTAATAGGACAGCACTGATAACAGAGTGCATCCTTAAAAGTAAAGGGCAAGAGACATAACCTCTGTGCTCAATTCACGAGGACAGGCTTCTGCTTTATGCTGCTACAGAACATCTGAGGCAGTTTCCCAGTCACTGAGGCCAACACAGAGTAGACCATGAAAGCTGACCTACATACACAGTTATATTCCCACCACCTCTGAACGACTGAGTTAACCTCCAGTGAAAGATGCCCCATTAATTCATTGACAAATATGGAAACGCCTGACAGAGTCTCGGCCGTTTTAGCCGCAGTGTTGATTAAATTGAAAGGCTCGCAGAGCTGATGGTGCAGGAATGTAGTTTCGTTCTCTTAACAGCTAACAGACCGAGTCTTCCCTTAATGACAGGACCAGACAGCAAACACATGGAGTCCTGAGCTCACAAGGCATTAGAACTAATTGAGTTTCACATAAAGGGAGAAACCGGTGAGCTTAATTACTGCTACAACGCTGGAGGCTGAAACTGACCTACAGCCCAAAGTTTCCAGCGTGGCTTTGTTCAGTTACTGTCTTCTCCTATCTTCTCTTCTCTTCTTACAAACTGCAACACTTCAGGTTCACAGGCTGCGGAGCTCCTTTCAAACGGCTCTACACAGAAAGCTCCAGGCTGTGAAATTAATCCGACTTGGCTTTCGGTTTAGGCGACTGTTTTCAATTCTCACAGCTTGTCCTCAGCGCACTCAGTGAAGGCAGCGAGTCAGTGGGCGTTAAAACAACCTACAACTGCAGTTTAGTCAGCGCTCACCTGAGGTAAATAACACACGGCACAATAAAAGTTCTCAGCTGAACAGAGTTACTCGGCTCGGCCCACGTCCTCTCAGTTCAACACTCTCGACTACCTCAAGTCTATTCACGAGAGCACAGGTAAGTGAAGCCTACCTTGAACACAAAACCCTCACAAGCCTTCGTGTTTCCGTTGAAGCCGTGTGTGAAGCTGATACTCACCTGTTCTGTTGTGGAGGTGAGAATGAGAGAAGCACTGCAGCGGCTGTAAGCCTGTCAGCTCTGTACGCCTGTCAGCTCAGTGGGCAGCGTGAGTGAGAGCGTGTTCGGGGGAAACTACCGCTGGCGATGTGGGGACTCGTGAATGAATCGCTCTTGTGAATCGGTTCTTTTCACTAAACCGGTCGAACCGATTCACACGTCCAGCTACACGGAGCAGCGCGGTATTTTCGACCGTGTTGTAGGTGGTGGAGCCCTAATACTGTTCAAATGAGGATCTTTCACTATTTATCCTTATTAAATCATTAAATAAAACAACACATTCTAACGCAACCTCTCTGAATTCGCCTGTTTTCTCTTTGTGGACTGTAGCTGGCTTTCTCTTTTCTCCTTTTTCTTTCTCTTTCTCTTTTCGTGTGCATGCCGAGACTTCAGTATGAGTAACATAATAAAAATAATTTTGCTTGCAAATCAACCCGTTAACAGAAGGTTCGATTCGCTGAATCGGACAGTTCGATGGAGTCGGTTCGGTGAATCTGAGTCGAGTTTCTCGGCAGTGCGCTCTCTGGCTCCATCCAGCGAGAGCTGCGCGGTAAAACTCGTTGACGCTGTGCTGAGTGGAACAGCGAGCTCTCAGCCTCGAACCTGCAACAGGAAATGTTTGAAAGAAGCGGAGGATGATATGATAAAAAAAACTTCCTGTGTTGAATAAATATACAGTCTGTGTTGATTTCCCGTTTTATGGCGTTGTTTCATTTTGTTATTCTAAACAACGGTGAACATAAAAGCAGTGTACTGACTAATCAGTTATTAGAGAAACTCTATTACAAACAATATTGACAATTATGAATAAAAAAAGACTAATTAAAAATAATGTATGAACATGCATATTGTACTCTATATATACATTAGAAACAATGCCATATCATTTGCATGTTATTTTTGTATTATATGTAACAAAGCAAATAAGATATACACCGTTCAGGCATAACAGTTACATAATACAGTTACAGACTGTAGTCCATCTGTTTCTCTGCATACTTTGTTAGCCCCCTTTTACCCTGTTCTTCAGTGGTCAGGACCCCCATGGACCCTCACAGAGCAGGTACTATTTGGGTGGTGGGTCATTCTCAGCACTGCAGTAACACTGACATGGTGGTGGTGTGTTAGTGTGTGTTGTGCTGGTACGAGTGGATCAGACACAACAGTGCTGCTGGAGTTTTTAAACACCTCAGTGTCACTGCTGGACTGAGAATAGTCCACCAACCAAAAACATCCAGCCAGCAGCGTCCTGTGGGCAGCGTCCTGTGGGCAGCGTCCTGTGGCCACTGAAGGACTAGAGGATGACCAACACAAACTGTGCAGCAGCAGATGAGCTATCATCTCTGACTTTACATCTACAAGGTGGACTGACAAGGTAGGAGTGTCTAATAGAGTGGACAGTGAGTGGACACAGTGTTTAAAAACTCCAGCAGCACTGTTGTGTCTGATCCACTCGTACCAGCACAACACACACTACAAGGTCATAATGTTATGCCTGATCGGTGTATGTAGGCTATTACAGATTTTATATTAAATATTGCCGTTATAAAAATACACACAGTACTGAAAATGAGACCTGCTTTCAGTTTTTCAAAGAAATTTGCAGGGATATTTTTCCACAGATCCAAAGTTCAGTCTTAGTATTTGGTTGCATTTTCTGCTTCTTATGATGTTAGTGATCCCAATCATGAACTTAGAATCATCGGTCCATAAAACTTTCCTGCACATCTCAGATGTCCAGCTTTGGTGTTCAAGTACAAATGTTCTTGTTTTATTGTGTCCGTCTCCTTTTCTCAGTGAGGTTCTTCTTGACAGCTACACATCCTTTCAGACCCACAGCGCTGAGTCGGCTTCTCACAGTGGAAGGATGGACAGAAACACCTGTGGATGTTTTCAGATCTGAAGCAGCTTGATTTTCTCCTCTGTCTAAGTGCTGTTTATCTGATGGGGCAGTTCTGATGGTCTACCAGGTCTTGCGCTGTTATTAGGCGTCACATTTTCTCCACAACTTTTACATTTTTTAGATTTTGAAATCTCCTTTTTGTTTTCCTTTTCCTTTCCTTATCCAAGTGGATTATCTTATCATCTCCTCAGAAATACCTCCTAAAAAATAAATCATTTTTCTCGGGTGGTCTCTGACTTTTTGTACTGTACTATACATATATATGTACACATCATTCAAAAGCTTGGTTTATTAGTCGTTTTTATTTTTTAATGTTCTACATTTCTATGAAATGGTTAAAATATAGTACATGGTATCAAATAAACTAATAACTTAGTCATTTCTTGTCACAAGTTTACTGTAAATCTACAGTTTTCTCAATATTTCAATATATAAATATATACATGTATGTATGTATCGTCGCTGTCCAAATAAAACCATGTATCTTCACTTTTATTGATTTTTTGTGTGAAAATTTCAGACAATCAGTTAGAATAAAACCTCTTTTCATTAACTTACGTTGAAAGATAAGTGTTTTCTTTCTATCTATCTATATATATGTGTGTGTGTGTGTGTGTGTGTGTGTGTATATATATGATGTGTATATACGTATATGTATGTATATATATGTATATAGATAGATATAACAAATATAGGTATATAAACGTTTAGATTCTCATTTTTGAGCAAGGAAAGATGACACATGCAGGCAGTGAGTCATGATCATGCAAAACACGATTAAATATCTGAAACGAGAGGAGCATGAGAAAGAACAGCTGGCCTTTCAGTCGTGCACAGGCACAGACAGGTGTTGGCACAGCTTCAGCTATGACTGGATAAGCTTAAAAAAACAGCGGTCAGATCCTTATGCTGTAGCTAATGACCTCATACATCACAAAGTGCTGATAACACAGTCAGCGCTGTTGCCCAGCAGTAGGAGGAGCTCAGTGTGTCAGACACACCAACACATCAGTGGGTGGAAACTGCTGGTGCCTCAACGAGGCCTGGTTAGATTAGTTGTTTACTCAGTTACATGTACGTAGTAGAATTTGGATGGATTTGCATGTTTCTGACTAGCTTTAAATGACAGTCCTAAACTCATATTTAAGTGTATTTGTGAGTAAAGTAATCTTACTCCCCAGTTACAGAAGTCTTTCTCATTGACCCTTTTTTGGGTTTAATTTCACTCAGTTGTTAAATCAGAACCTGCTCTGTCTTTGCTGCTGTTTGCAGCATCTAAAAAGAGAGGAACATCATCAAACTTCAGTCTCTATGCGAATAGATGCCAAATGATGTTCCACTTGACCTGAAACATTTTTGACTCCTACTCAGGTAGTTTTATAGGTTTTACTTATCGCTGCTGTCGGAAGAAAAGCATTGTATCTTCATAATAATAACTTTACAGGAGGAGCAAAAAACATACTTTACTTTTAATGTAAGTCAATGGAACCAGATTTTGCTCCAAGTATATTTTGGCTATTTCTTTTGGTCCATTCATTGTAAAATTTACACACAATGTAAAGAGCAACAGGCATTTTCAAATTATGTCAAAAACTGAAAAACAAAAAAACGGACATTCAAGGTTTTCTTCCAACAGCAGCGATATGAGTTGTTATTTTTATTTCATCAACGATTCCTTTTCTCTCATTTCTCCTCTGCACACCGTACACCACGCACATATTGTCTCTGTTTCTCATCTGTCCATAAAGGCTTTGTTTCACTTTGCTGGTACTGTAATCTCCCTGTACTAAGTGGGAAATGAACAAACAAATGATAGCTTGTCAAAAGTTCCACGGAGGCAAAAGGCCTGTTTTGAATTTTCAGCCACAGGCTGGTAATAACGCACTCCAAACCATGCAGCCTCCACAGGTTGAATGACTTCATTTTACCTTCAGAGCATGCAGCACAGCTTAGAGCTGACTGAGTCACTGAAAACCCCTGGAAATATGAATGTTCCTGCAGCATTTCTCAGACTTCACTCCAAAAATAAAGCCAAGAACATTCACATTGAAGGCGTTTGGAAAAACTGTATATTTATTTCTCAAGCACTTAACATTCTTGCTACAAAAGTAGACACAGAACATTGTGTGTATATATACAAAATGCCACCCTTTGACTTTATACTAAAGCAGATCTCAAGAGATGTTATGACCACCTGTTTGTGAAAGCATACCGGCCTCAAAAGGCAAAGTCAAAACCTTTGCAAATGTTCCACTGTCCAAGCAGTGTCACACTGCTATGACCATAAAAACTGTACAAAGCAAAAATACATTTAAAATGCAATAACTTAAGAGTTGGACTGTCGTATCTATACTTGATAATCAAGTCGTGGTCCCATTCATTGTAACCCATTAAGCTGAGTCTACTTAACGTCTTAATATGGGAACAAAAAAGATGCTGTAACAAAAAAACGTCAAACGGTGAAACAGAACTAAAACCACAGCCGCTGTCAGGTTAAAACACTGACAGGCCAGCAGCTTAGTGGCAACAGTCCACCTGATTAAAACACATTAAATGACTTATACGCTCCCTCCTGCCGCTCACGTTAACAGTCAATTAATTTGCTAATTTGCAGATCAACTGGAAGTAATTTAAACTCTACTATGTAATATGTTGGCAACAGTGCCACAGGACAAATGAACTGCCTTTTAAACCTGGGCAACAATCACCATTTCAAAGAAATGCCATCATTATATATCTGGAAACAGTCCATGCATATTGAAAAGGGTGTATTTATCACCAAAATGTCAATAGCTTATACTGAGAACGTTAAAGACATACTGTCACATGAGAAATGACAAATGCAGGCAGGCAGAAGAAATAAGAACATAAAGCTGAGGAGTACAAAGGCTGTTTTCATGATCAATACGTGGTCATTGGGACTAAACTGCTATATATTGACATGCTAAGTTCAAACATTATTTACTGTAATCCAGATGATTTGAATAGTAATGCTTTCGTTTTCCTGGATTTTGTTAATGCTACATTTGTAGTGCTACACTCCAGCTATGAAGCATGACCTCCATGCACCGATGACAAAAATCATGTTATGGCATTCCATTGATTTACACCGATCAGGCATAACATTATGACCACCTCCTTGTTTCTATGCTCATTGTCCATTTTATCAGCTCCACTTACTATATAGGTGCACAGA